GCCATTTAAGGCTTTATATGTAACTCAGACGAGGTTGAAACAAAATGGCTGAAGGTCCAGGATCTGATCAGGAAGCCTTCCTCTCAGAACGCAGCAAACATTCTGATCTAGATGTGTATGAGATGTTCTGCTGTGGGATGTTACAGATCATCGCCGCTCAGGAGGAGATGCTGCGGAAGGAGAAGGAGCTGGAGGAGGCCCGCAACAGGCTGGCCATGATCCGGAAGCAGCAGTACAAGTTCCTCCCATCGGAGCTGAGGGAGGACGGCCAGGAGCAGTGAGAGCGCGGCGGCCTCCCATAGCCCCCAGGATGGAACATCATGTTTGCTTCCATGCATCTATGCAAAGTTTTTAATCAGATTTTTATATGTTTTGATATTTTATATAAATATATTTCTGCCTCTTCTGTCTGAACGCGTCCAAAGAGTCCCGCTGACAGAACTTCCTGCTAGTTTCTCCTTTTCAGTATTTTTTTTACTGTACAAAACTAAACTATGAGATAAATGTCAGGATTTTATGGTTTAGGTGAAAAAACGACTGTTTTAATCGGACCAGCTGAGAATCAGTATTTTAAAAGAATAAAATGTGTTGAACAGATGTGATCTATGTAGATCAGGACTGGATGGAGCGCCTGGTTGATCTGGAAGCCATATATCTACGATTCAGACCCGCTGGGGATCGATCCACTCCACCAGAACACAAACACAGCCGGCCGGCGGTCTGAGCTCACTGATGCTGTTCAAACTTTTTTACAACTTCCTGCTTCAAAGATGGCCGCCCTTCCTGTCCAAGTATTGGTGTCTGAAGCTGTTTTATTATTAATGTATAATGATGAATCTCTGCTCAGTAATGTGGTTTGGTTTCCTTAAACGCTCCATGCAGGAAACCGTCATTCAAACTGTTTCTGTGGACCAGGTTCTGACCCGTTCTGACCCGGTCAGACAGATTCCTGCACATTAAAGCCTATTTTCACTGAAAGCGGCCATCTTGTTCCTTTCTCTGTAACCGACCTGCTTCCAGCTGGGATCGTCTCTAAACTAATACTCAAATATTATCAAGCATATTTCTGTGTTTAAAAGTCTGGAAGCATCAGTTGCTTTTTTTTTGTTTTTACTGCACTAGTGGGTCGTTTTTTAGTAGGCTGACGGGAAAGGGTGTAGTAGGGCATGAGAGGGGGAGAGGCATGCGGCAAAAAACCACAGGCTAGATTCGAACCCGGGTCGCCTGCGCTGAGGACTAAGGCCTCCGTACCTGGATCGTGCACTAACCTGCACGCCCAGAAGCATCGATCATAAATAGAATATTAGTTTTCCTAGTTATTAGATCCCTTAAATGGTTTCTAACCCAAGCCGATGGTTTGGATCCTTCCTGCTGCTATTTTATGGTTCAGAAGCTTTAAAGTTTGGGAACCTCAGATTTAATCCTTCATTCAGTCCTAAATACAAACATGAACAATAGAATACAATTTAAAATAATGAATTAATCCCAAAGGAAAAGGGTTAATAAGGAGATAAGCTTCTGGTAAGAATTGTCATAAAACTTAATTTTCATCATCAGTTTGCTGGATGGATTATTAATAACCAGGTCAGAGTCATTTAGACAAAGTTAAAGTAAGAAAAACAAACTTAAATGAGCCCTGAACATGAAGAACTGGACCTGAACATGGGGAAGCTTCTGGATTGTTGGTCTTGTTATTCCAAAAAGGTAAAAAAAAAACAATCCACTGGACTTTGTTTCCAAGTTTGAAGACGTTTCTCTTCCATCCAGGAAGCGTCTTCTATTCAAAATGTCTGGATGTGAAGAGGCAGTCTTTAAGGGTCATTGTTGGTCTCACCAGGTCAGACTGCTTCTTCAGAGGAATCTGGTATTTCAGGCCAATAAAAACCTCAACGACTTTCATTATTAAGGAGTGGAGCTGGTTTTCCAGTTTCAATCTGCATGTTTTCTAAACTAAAACCAGGCTTTGTTGGGCTGCTGGATAAAACCTGGAACTAAACGCTATTTCTGACATTTAGAATAGAAAAATCTTCCTGGATGGAAGAGAAACGTCTTCAAACTTGGAAACAAAGTCCAGTGGATTGATTTTTAACCTCTTCATCCAGTTGTCACAGATTTTAATGCTGTAGGCAGGAAGGATCTGCTGTACAGATCTGTTTGTCCTAGATCTATAGAAGCCTTTGA